TAAAAAATTTTTTATATATATTTTTTTATATATATATATATATGTATATATATATATATATATATATATATATATAGCTTGATATTTACAGTATATTTGTCCTGAAATTACCACCATATATGCATTAAAAAAGCACCCAAACAAAACAAAAAGGCCTATATAAATCATGATGGTGGTGATTCACAATATTGGTTAATTTTTATAACTTTAACTAAATAATAGATTGAGCAAACATTCAATATCACTCAGCCCTGCCACAAACAACCAATTATTTATCCAAAACAGCAGCCGGTGAGAGCAGCATTTCTCCAGCAGCTTCATGCATGACGTTTTATTGTGTGCTGAGTTGCTCAATCGATCATCAGAATCATCATGTCTCACTCTCTCTCACTCATACAGTGTCTGTGGAAATGGCTTCGACCTCTACATCCAAGGGTGGATGGACGGTTTGTTGTGGCTCGTGGATGCCTTCATAACGCACCGCTACAAGATTTATTCAGTTGCTTTGACACCAGTACACTGCGTTTCCCAGAATCACTCTCAATCATGACACTGAGTCAGAGCACACTCGCTCCGAGAAGATGCTTTATATCACAGTGCAGAGAGAGAGAGAGACTGCAGGATTCACTCTGACCACCACTGTACAAGATTATGAAGAGAAATCAACAAATAATAACACATTTAGACTGATAATCAGACTAACCAGCAACGGCAAACAACAGGTGAAGTAAATGCACTTGAAAGTGAATGTTAAAATGCAGTTTTATATAAATGTATTTTTTATATAAAATTTTCTTATTGCTTTCTTTCAATTTTGGGATAATCAAGGATCTATGAGTATAAAATACCAGTAACTGGAACTGGAAACTACATCTAGACCACCTATAATGGATGCAAAAGTTAATATATTGTTAAATTTTGGTTGCATGATCAACCACTTTCACAAACCCTTGCCTTTTTCCTTTGCTTTTTTTAAACGGTGTGTGTTGAACAGCAAACAACAGGTAAAGTAAAAGTGCTTGAAAATTACTGCTAAAAATGACAAAAATTCCAACAAACATGCTTTATTTTATTTTTAAAAGTTGAATAAATAATAATAATAAAACAAATTTAAATGACTTCTTTGTTTTTATCTTTTTAAATTATTTCTAATTATTATATCTAATTATTTCTTATTTTTACTTTTTTTTTTTAAACTGTTGAACAGGAAACAACAGGTTCAGTAAATGTGCTTTAAAAAAGAAATAATAATATTATAAAACAAGCCTGTTTTCTTTATTAAAAAACAATATAAAATAAATTCTTTATTATTTTTATATTATAAAGTATTTATGAAAATTACAATATTTTCATATTTCCTTGTTTTAATTTTGGAATAAAACCTAAGTATCTATGAACATAAAATACAAGTAACTGAAACTGGAAACCATAGACCACCGGATGCAAAAGATTACATTTTGATTTCATGATCAACCACTTTCACAAAGCCTTTTTCCTCCACATCCGTGTGATGCACCAGTCACATAGAAATCAATGAATTCGCAGAATAAACTCAATACTAAAACAGACGTGCTGCTAACATCCGCTGTGGCGTAACACGACACGACTCTTCACTGCGTTTGTGCATTTCATTTGGCACCAGTGTCATTCTCTCATTTCACAGACACAAATAACGTCCATGAGCGTCAGGAAAGAGTTCACCTGGGAGACCCGCAGCCCACGGGCTCCATATTTAGACCACAGCAGTCCAGATATAGCGTGATGTCTGTCTGCGGCCATTCCACACCAGATTGCACAGACCATTACCCTCATAGAGAGATGCTTATCACCCACAAGAGCTATTAACCTATATAGGGCCTGGGAAACAGAGCACACTGCCGTAGTAATAGCTAAAACCTCCTTTACACAAGGACATGCTTATAAATGGATGCAAGCCAATGAAGGAGAACGGATAGACCACCATCTCTAACAGTGACGCCCATCTTTCCCAGTATTTTTCTCATTCATTTACTCCACAGGCATCTCAAAAATCTCCTCAGTGAGTTATAAGACAGACCAACCATCTCTAAGATGAACCAAAACACTAAAATATTTGATTTTTGAAGGATTAAAAGATAAAGGCGACCTAACTAACAAAAATATGTTCTAAGAACATTCTGCTAACATTCCCATTAAGTTATGAACATGTTATTTCTCGGAACATTCAATACGTCCAGTGTTTTTAATGTTTAAAAAACTTTTTTTTTCTTGGTTTTTCGAACGCTATAGACCAATTTCAGTGTTTGCAAACAGTGATGACGGTTTTTTGTGGCCTATCTGGTGGCAGAAAATGACAGTTTTAACATAGCAGTCTATTCAAGCCATGGAATAAAAGAATAACAAATTTAATTTTGAGTTTATATTTCCAAATTCTGACTTTTTTCTTGCAATTCCGAGATTATAGCTCATAATTCTGGTAAGAAAAATCAATTCGCCATTCTTTCTTTTTAGTTTATAATCCCACACTTCCGGCTTTTCTTCCTCAGAATTGACAAACTTGCAATTGTTGAGTTGAATCAAGTTATAAAGTCCGAACTAGGAGATATAAACTTGCATTTGCAAGAAAAAAAGTCAGAATTGTGAAATAAAATAGTTAAATGTTATAGGTTTAAATAGTATTTCATGCATGTATTTCAACTGTAGGGCTAATACAATATGTCCCCTATATGAATATTATATAGACCTATTGTTTAAATCAAATGTATGCTTTAAATGTAGGGTAATCATAGCAGGTTTCATTCATACTCTGTCCATTTAAACGTTTGCTTTTAGCTTCAAATGACATCTTTGACGACAGTATTATATACAAATTATTTGCATTCCGATTCTGACATCCAAAGGCACAACAATCAATTTTTTCTATTATTCCATGGATTTCACCCGTTTCCCTCCACTTGTTCCCAGTGTTTTTATACCACCACAATGCGCGCGCAGCTGCAAGTGACGTAACTGTGACGTCTACTCCTAATTGGTCTATAAGGGAACATTCCGTTTGACCATTTTCAAACTTTATGGAAATGTTACTTTTGAATGTTCTCTGAACATTCCGAAACAAGTAATAACATTTAAAAAATGTCAGACGAACAAAACAACATTCCATGAGCAATGTATAACGTTTTTCCAATTGAACTAATGTTCTATTCATGATACTGAAAGAACGTGTGTTCATAACTTTGATAGAACCTTGGCAGAACGTTAGCCAAACATTATTCAAATGCTACCTAGAAGAACAAAAATTTGCAGTAAACGGTACACTCCAGTGTTTATAATTATGACAATACAATACATACCAGTATGTGATATCAAGCAGCATAACGATCTTTGGTAGGCATACCGCTAAACTTAACTGGAAACTTCGCACAGTCATGTTACAAAATGGCGTTACGCGTCCGTTCTTAACGTTAAAAATGAGGTGGATTGCTTGACTTGACTACATAAGATTCATGAGTGTGGATGAACTTTCCTTTTCTTGCTTTAAAATATGTTGGAACCAGTATTGGTTGGCATATTGTTTGGGCCTGGATGCATTCGTCTGGTTGGGTGCATTGAATACAGCAGTCCTACCTTTGGCGTTTTGGTGCATTTCCCCGTTCTTGCATCTTTGATGTAGGTGATGTCCAATAGATCCGTTTCCTGAAAGAGGGAGGGGCAGATTTTATGCCACAGCTCACAAAAACAATTTCATTCTGTTGAACTGAATCAATATGATGTTAAATATCACAAAAGCCATTCAGACATCACACGAGGTAACAGCACGGGAAACGTTGACAGAGAAAACAATGACGGAAAATCAAGAATAAATAATTAAACAGACTTAAAACATAGTGACTAATTCCCACACGCAGATCCAGATCAAAGAATTAACCGCAAGGCTCTCGTTAAAATACCCTGGTAAGGAAATGATGCAGGGCCAGAGCGCCGCATTATTTGCGTCTGCAGTGTGTAATGGACATGCTGATGGATATGCTTTCTGACAGCTGCAGCAGAAACCAAAGCTGACGGCATTCTGCTGGCACGACCAAGCTACAACTGAGCTGGAAAAAAAACAAAGAGGCATTTGCTCTTTATACTCATTTATGCAACACAGCAATGATTGGAGGGTAAAAATAGAATATCATTTTTATGATGGTAAAGCCTGAATGTCCTCATGTACTCCACAAACAACTTCTAACATTTGTCAACTTGACATGTGACGGTGCCCTGTAATGTGACTCTATCATACTCTAAAAACTAAACCACATTTGTCGGATTCCTTTGTGCATTTCTCAGGTAATATCAATGGTATGACCTATTTGAGATTTGGCCGAGATTACAACAACAGCGTTAACATACACATATATTGAATTGTTTGATCAAAATTATTCCTAGGGACAATTTAGTAGTCACTGGACATTGGTAGGGACATGTCCCAAGTGTATCTACTAAATTCTACATCCTTGGCACAATATCACCAACTACATAAGATTCATGAGTGTGGATGAACTTTCCTTTTCTTGCTTTAAAATATGTTGGAACCAGTATTGGTTGGCATATTGTTTGGGCCTGGATGCATTCGTCTGGTTGGGTGCATTGAATACAGCAGTCCTACCTTTGGCGTTTTGGTGCATTTCCCCGTTCTTGCATCTTTGATGTAGGTGATGTCCAATAGATCCGTTTCCTGAAAGAGGGAGGGGCAGATTTTATGCCACAGCTCACAAAAACAATTTCATTCTGTTGAACTGAATCAATATGATGTTAAATATCACAAAAGCCATTCAGACATCACACGAGGTAACAGCACGGGAAACGTTGACAGAGAAAACAATGACGGAAAATCAAGAATAAATAATTAAACAGACTTAAAACATAGTGACTAATTCCCACACGCAGATCCAGATCAAAGAATTAACCGCAAGGCTCTCGTTAAAATACCCTGGTAAGGAAATGATGCAGGGCCAGAGCGCCGCATTATTTGCGTCTGCAGTGTGTAATGGACATGCTGATGGATATGCTTTCTGACAGCTGCAGCAGAAACCAAAGCTGACGGCATTCTGCTGGCACGACCAAGCTACAACTGAGCTGGAAAAAAAACAAAGAGGCATTTGCTCTTTATACTCATTTATGCAACACAGCAATGATTGGAGGGTAAAAATAGAATATCATTTTTATGATGGTAAAGCCTGAATGTCCTCATGTACTCCACAAACAACTTCTAACATTTGTCAACTTGACATGTGACGGTGCCCTGTAATGTGACTCTATCATACTCTAAAAACTAAACCACATTTGTCGGATTCCTTTGTGCATTTCTCAGGTAATATCAATGGTATGAGCTATTTGAGATTTGGCCGAGATTACAACAACAGCGTTAACATACACATATATTGAATTGTTTGATCAAAATTATTCCTAGGGACAATTTAGTAGTCACTGGACATTGGTAGGGACATGTCCCAAGTGTATCTACTAAATTCTACATCCTTGGCACAATATCACCAGTAGCTTTGTCTGTTGTTGTTCCATCAGCGAAAAGAGTTCAAAACAAATACAACAGTGTGTCTGAGAAAATCACTGTAGTGGTGTTTTGTTTCGGGATGGTCCAGCGAGTCAGTTGAGTGAACAATTCAATGACTCCCTCATAAGTTTCTTTTGTGCCTGCATGAATCTAAATGGTTTAACAAATCACTTAAATGAATGATTCACTGACTAAATCAGTGTTTTGAACAAATCGGTTGATTGAATCATTAAATTATTCACTTATAAAGAACTGCGGCGCCACCTACTGGCGTAACGATGCAACTTGCAGAAAGAATTACTGAAAAATACACACACAAACTGCCTGGAAGAAAGAGATATATTTTATAAAACATATATTACACATATTATTTCTCTTTTAAATCTGCACATTATTGGCCTTTTAAAAAATCCACATCTGTGATTAAACAAACACTTTCTATAAGGATAAATTGGCACAAAACAACCAATTATAGTTTCACAAAATTAATCAATTTTCATTATTGCTATAGTATACTTCTCTTCCTTTCTAGACATTTTGGATGGGCTACAATCCCCAGCCCTCGCTGACACACTTCTGTGAACGCGATTATATAAAGACATCCAGGATGTCATTTGTTCAGAGCTTTGACCTAAAACACTAACACAGGAAATGAATGATTCACTGACTAAATCAGTGTTTTGAACAAATCGGTTGATTGAATCATTAAATTATTCACTTATAAAGAACTGCGGCGCCACCTACTGGCGTAACGATGCAACTTGCAGAAATAATTACTGAAAAATACACACACAAACTGCCTGGAAGAAAGAGATATATTTTATAAAACATATATTACACATTATTTCTCTTTTAAATCTGCACATTATTGGCCTTTTAAAAAATCCACATCTGTGATTAAACAAACACTTTCTATAAGGATAAATTGGCACAAAACAACCAATTATAGTTTCACAAAATTAATCAATTTTCATTATTGCTATAGTATACTTCTCTTCCTTTCTAGACATTTTGGATGGGCTACAATCCCCAGCCCTCGCTGACACACTTCTGTGAACGCGATTATATAAAGACATCCAGGATGTCATTTGTTCAGAGCTTTGACCTAAAACACTAACACAGGACAAGAAACACGTCTCCTTTAATATTCACAAGGCCACAAGGTCATTTCCAACTCAACTCGCATTTAGCCTACTAACTTTGAAATCAAAACATGCAGAAATGACATTGACGAGAAACCAAACAATGCAAATGTGCGCATTTTCTGAACATGTGAAGGTCCCTGCATGCGTGCAACTGCGATGCAGTGCAGTTGCTATTTTTTCGATATAGTTTCCCTATTATATGACTATGATATAATATTTATTATAATTGCAAGTGTGTGCCAAGGCTGTCTGAATAATGAAAGCAGCTCTCACACAAACGGTTCATCTATGAAAACCTGCGTATGGTGGCGGGAGCTTCACCAGCGCCATGGCAACAGGGGATGGAGGTGGTCTGTGACGGGGAGTCGGGCTAAAGCAATATGAAGACAGGCACCAGGAACCCTTGAAATCAGCTTGCAGAAGACGTCACCAGCGAGCTCAGACTCCGCTTCTGAAAATCCATTGAGACTACATGATCAAATATCTGTTAGTTCAGCAGAGCAAACCGCACTCTATTGACTCTCCATCCACAGAAAACTCACAAACCTGCTACAATATTCAATAATGGAGCCGCTTGTAAGTGACTGCGATGATTTGCTCAACTCTCGCTGGCGACAATCTGGCCTGCAGTGCTGCTAAATATAGAAACGCACGTATTGATTCAAATATACTCTTGGTTTGCATAACAATACAGGATGCTATTATATTACTATTGGCCAGAGGCGCCTGTGCTGGAATTCTGAGCGTATTTTATGGACAGGAAAAACTGTCAGGTTTGCTTTCATTGACTGACAAGTAGATTGTTATCCGAGTAAAATAAAACAGGGTGAATCTCACAAAACCTGTACAGAATGAGCCCAAGCCATATTTCATCCCAAAAATACAGTAAAAGGTAAGAAATTATACTTTGTATTCTTCTTCTTTTTTTTTTTTTTAAGTTCTATTTTAGGGTCATTAAGATTATATTGCATTGTGATGCACATTTTAGTATATAGTGTGATCATGTACAAAACAAAGGCAGAATAACAAATACTACCATAAATACTTAAAAAATAAATACATGGGAGGGGGGGATAAAACAAATTAAACAAATTAAAATAAGGGGGGAAAGGCAGAATCAGGGTTATTACTTATAACTAAAGTTAAACTGAAAAAAAAAATTCAACTTATATAAAGAAAAAAATCTGAAAAACAACAAAATTACAAAAAAAAAATAAAAAGGAAAAACTGATTCAAAATATTAATAAAAACTATAATAGTATTGTATCTCAATAATACTACAAAAATTAAAAAACACTGGGCAGGATAACAAACACTACACCATAAATATTTAACTATTTAAATTTAACTTAAGTATTTATGGTTGCATTTTTTTATTCTTGTTATTCTTTTCTCTTTTTTTAATTAAAAAATGTGCCTAATCTTTAAAAAAAATGAGGTAAGCATTTATATTTTGCTTTTAAAAAAACAAAGCCCATTTTAGGACTATTACTATTTCATTTCATTGTGATTTTGTTTTTAATTGTGTGATTCTACTCATATATATATTTTTTTTTTTTCATTATATTTAAAGGGAAACGTGACTTGGAAATGCTTTTGTTTCAGTCAATATCAATATCTATACGCACAGTCACTGAACCTGATAACTGAATGCAGTTTAGGTGTCCCGAGCCCTTCGGAGTCCCTCACAATTAGCAGCGTTTTATTCAATACCATGTGGTATCTGAAGATTGAGTCACTCAGATGAATATTATTCTGATGTTACTCATTGCTGCTTTCACAAACTGACATGAGAAATCACATGCTAAAGTTTGCTGGAATACACTCGCACTCGACTGAATCATAATTGATTCTCTAACATAAAAGGGCAAGAGCAGAGGCTGTTATATCCTGCCAAATCCACATTCAATGACCTCACTTCCTGTTGAGTTTACTCTCAAAGCATGTCCAGGTCACACTTTACCTTGAATACAATTAAAATATAAAACTTTTAATTTTATCTAGTTGCCAAGGCAACATTTCTCATTTAAAATTTAGTTTAACTTAATGTACTAAAATAACTCAAACTAAAACTGATTAAAAAACTATATCAACATAGATATAAAAACAAAAACACAACAAAACTGTAAATATAAAAAGAAAACCTGATTCAAAATATTAATAAAAACTATAATGTTATCCCAATGATCCTAAAACAACAACATTTACAAGAAAATACTATTCCATTGTTTCTACTTCAAAATGTCATGCTTACTTTAATGTGTTACATGCAGTTTCTTTGCAATTATGAAATTTACTCGCAATGTTTGAGTGAAAATTGTTTCAAAATGAATCATACACCGAGTTTTTTTTTTCCGTTTACGTCTTGAAAACAAACAAACAAATAAATAAATCAGTCAATAAATACAAAATACTATTTAGGTTCATCAAAAGAGGTGAATTAAGATGTAAAATAAACAAGTGCAAAGTATTTTTCAATATTCTTTTACTCAAAATCAATGTCATGGCAGATGAGCTCTTCATGTTCTGGTTTTATCAGCTCAATGGCCTTCATTTGCCATAATAAGATACGACTGTGCTTTCTGACGCTTTCTGAAAGGCAGAATGAACTGATGCTGTCATACCAAACATGTTTGTGATTCTTGTGTAATCATATACAGCAATGCTGTATGCTTTTAATACAGTGTGACGTCTGCTCTGCTCTTCACCCACACTTATCTCCATCAGATCATTTCAGCACAATTACTATTGAGCACAATCTATTAGATGCTGTTTATCAGATCAGCAGCTACATCAGTCAAGATCAACACTGAATGAACAGTATGCCTTTATTTTCATGTTTAGAATATTAAGGCAGACACAAAAAGTGAAGGACAGACTCTGGAACAGTTCAAATGAAAAATCATCCATACTTGGATGAAAATCGCTCATGTAAAGTGGGACATCTCTCTGAGCCAGACTCTGAGGCGATGTGAGCATTTGGCTGTCGGTGCTCCATCTGGACAAAAGACTCAACCTCATTCCCTCCGGACAGACTTTGGAAAGTGACACCACACTAGATAAAACGAACTGTTTTGTTCTGATGAAATGTATATCTAATGTCTTGTTTTAATGCTCAGGACACTTGAGCTTAAGGGTGAAGAGATACATTTTTAATGTCAAAAATACTTTTAACGTCATTGGCAGGTTAGTCTCAACGTCAGGAAATCCCACGGACCAGTGTTATTATCGTCAACTAAAACTAAAAACACTAAAATATATTTATGTTAATTGAAATAAATTCAATGTTACATTTTATAAATAAAAATAATCAATTTAATGTTAATTTAATACAATAGAATATTAAAAACATATTAGAGAAATATTCATTTGCGTTTATTTCCAAATAGTTGCAAAGTCAAAAAAAAAGAAAGAAATTGCATTAAGTTTAAGTACTAAATGAAGAAATAAAAAATTTAATAAAAACTATTAAAAACTAAAAAGACACACTCTAAAAAATGCTGGGTTAAATACAACCCAGTGCTGGGTAAAATAGGGACAAACCCAGCAATTGGGTTGTTTTGACCCAGCGGTTGGGTTAAATGTTTAACCCAACCTTCTGGTAGTAACCCAACCGCTGGGTCAAAACAACCCAATTGCTGGGTTTGTCCCTATTTTACCCAGCACTGGGTTGTATTTAACCCAGCATTTTTTAGAGTGCATATTTCATCAAAACAACAACAAAAACACTGCAACAAAATTACTAAAACATTAACTAAAATTTGAATGTAAAATACATAAATAAAAATTACATTTAGTGTTAATTTAAATCAATTAAATGAGATAGAATATTAAAAAACGTATTAGAGAGATATAAAAAAAACTTTTCAATTAGTTGCAAAGGCAAAATTCCTCATTTTCATTTAGTTTAAGTACTAAATGAAGAAAAAAATTAAATAAAGGTTTATAAAAACTAAATAGACCTTAGTCAAGACAACAAACTAAATTAAAGCTTTAATTAAAATGAAAAATATATAAATACAAATGAAATTCTAATAAATAGTAAGGTGGTATAGCAATAATACTAGAATAACAGTGCAATGGACAACCCGATCAGCAAACACTGCACACAAAACTGGGACGCACTTGTGAAAAAAAAAAGTTTTTTTTTTT